CTTTGCTGTTATATTATATATTATTACTGATGTAGAAAAAATACTAGGGGATAGTTTTTTAATTCCCTTGCATTCAAAACAATCACAGCTTCATTTTATTCACCAAGCTAACATAATATTCTCTACTTCTTTGGTAAATCAACCCCTTGTGGATGTTTTCTCTCATGACTGTAATCTACAGAAAGACAATCAAGTAGATATTTCTATATTATATTGGTATCAGATTTGTTGCAGAGGTCAGTACGGATCAGGGCTCAGTAGAGGCGCCTCTGGAAGGTCCAATGGACACTCTGAAAACGGACAAACACAGCAATGAAATCACTAAACTAAGTGTTACAAAAGAATTCTTATCACAAATGTTCTTGTAAATAAATATTTTGATCAGTTTGAATCTTTGTGCTCTCCTCTCTCCAGCCAAGACCCTGTGTGGCCACCATAAATAAGTCACGTGCCATGCTTGACGACCATTGTTGACCAGTTGGAAGGTAGCTGTCTCCAGGTCTTTGGAATCCCTTCCATCATGACCACACTTATCCGTCATACCTGAATGCATATCGCCTGACCACATAAACTTATCACATCATCAGTTATTACTTACCAACAAAGGAGATCACTTTTTATAACTGATTGAAATACAACTGACTTCATTATGGTTAGGGGTTTCGGGACACGACCTTGGAGTATGTGTTTTGGTGTAGTGATATCGGTGTGTTACATAATTATACTATATTATAATTACGTGTCACCTAAGGGGAGCCTCTAGTTACCCCTAGTCACCCCTTTACACACACAGACATATGCAGATAGGTGTAAATATACATTAACACCATAAAAAGCATAATTTAACTTCATCCTTTCATTCCTTTCTTATGAGTTTTTTCTGCCTTTGTGCTCCTCTGCAACATCACCATTCCGAGGAACTCTTCTACTTTTCCCATTTTCAACCCCAGATTGAAGGGTCTGGATGGGTCATTGTATGGGCAGTGGTCTCCGGGTTAAGGGGGAACATATAATTCTTCACCAGTTATCTAGTCTGAAGATTACACCTGGTCTCCAGTAGTGATGAGCCGAACAGGTCCGAGTTCGGATCAAATTAGAATGTTAGAACAATCAAAAAGTGGGAATTGGAACTCAAACTCAATGCAAGTCAATGGGGGTAGAACTTTCAAAAACAATTGTCCCCTTTAATTTATTGCAAGTTATTGGCCATAAAAAGTGTGGATCAGGGTACTGCCCTGGGGGACATGTATGGGGGTCCGGGTACTGCCCTGGGGGACATGTATGGGGGTCAGGCTACTGTCCTGGGGGACATATATGAGGATCAGGGTACTGCCCTGGGGGACATATATGAGGATCAGGGTACTACCCTGGGGGACAGGAATCAAGGGAAAAAAAACACATTTAAAAAATACAGTTTTTAAAGGAACAGTGATTTTTATATCACTTAAAGGGTAACAATAAAAATGAAAAATGTCCTTTCAATATAATTCATGAGGGGTCCCTTAGCCTGCCTTTAAAGTGGCAGATCTGTACCATATATAGAACCTGCTGCAGCAAAACTGACATTTCTAAAGAAAAAAATACCGATACTAGGCGACATGCCCTCGGCACTGGGAGGGTCGCCCCTGGTAAATCACCTTGTCCCCGTGCCGATGGGAACAAGGGCCTCTACTCTCCACAGGCCCAGGGGGGTCCTATTAACATCAGGGTACCCCTTTAACAAAGGGGCACCCAGATGCCTCCTCCCCCCTTGTGAATGAGTATGGGGTAATTGTACTCCTACCCATTAACTAAAGGGTTCAATAAAATTGTAAATAAAAAAACAGACTTTTGAAAAAAATCCTTTAAGTGAAAAAAAAAACAAAAAAAAACACAAGAAAGTATTTTTTGACAAGTCCTTTATTATATAAAAAAAAATGGATCCACCAACATAATCCAGGGTCAATCACGACGTCCAGCGTTGTCCATGATTACAGCACCTTCACAATAAAATGTTTCCCCCGATCTGGTGTTTGATGTGAACATTAAAGGGCATGGAAACATTTAAACATACAGGATTATTCACAAAGCTGCAGAGTGAATGATCCAGCCGAAGTGAAGTGAGCCGAACGCTGATCGGCTATTCACTCTGGCTCAGTGCAGCTGATTTCAGCCGTACATTGGCTGCCTTTGGTCACATTATTATTATACAGGGTTTATAGAGCGCCAACAGTGTGCGCAGCGCTGTACAATATAAGGAAGACATTACAATCACAATACAATTCAAGACAAGATGGTAAGGAGGGCCCTGCCCCTGAGGGCTTACAATCTAAAATAGGAGGGGCCAGTGATACATGAGGAGGGAGCTGTGTGGGGATGAATTATTTGAGAATGTGATGGTTGAGTGGTTAGGTTGAGGTGGGATCGGCTTCCCTGAAGAGATGAGTCTTTAGGGAACGCCTAAATGCAGTCAAGGTGGCAGATAGACGGACAGGTTGGGGTAAAGAGTTCAAGAGGATGGGAGAGACTCTAGATAAGTCCTGGAGGTGAGTATGGGAGGAGTTGACGAGGGAGCTGGAAAGCAGGATGTCTAGGGAAGAGCGGAGGGGACGGTTAGGGTGATATTTTGAGACCAGGTTTGAGATATATCCGGGGGCGGAGTTGTGGACGGCTTTATAAGTGACTGTTAATATTTTGAATTTTATCTTCTGGGCTATTGGAAGCCAGTGGAGGGATTGGCAGAGGGGGGTGGGGGATGGAAGCCAGTGGAGGGATTGGCAGAGGTGGGTGGGGATGGAAGCCAGTGCAGGGATCAGCAGAGGGTGGTGGGGGATGGAAGCCAGTTAAGGGATTGGCAGAGGGAGGTTGCAGACACTGAGCGGTTGGTTAGGTGGATGAGTCTAGCAGCTGCATTCATTATAGACGGAAGGGGGGAGGGGCATGTGTAGTGGAAGGCCAATGAGGAGGGAGTTACAATAGTCAAGACGAGAGTTAACAAGGGAGTGGATGAGTAGTTTTGAACGTATTTTGTTGATGTTACGAAGGTGAAGGCGGCAGGATTTGGATAGGGATTGGATGTGGGGAAGAAAGGTGAGGTCCGAGTCAAGGATGACACCTAGGACCTTGGCATGGGGGAAGGGGGGATAGTTGTGTTATCAATCTCAATTGAAATGTTGGGGGAAGGTGCATGGGAGGGGTGGGGGGGGGGGAAATATCATGAGCTCAGTTTTTGAAAGGTTGAGCTTTAAGAAATGTTGTGACATCCAGACGGATATGTCAGTTAGTAGATTAGTGACATGCGAGGACACTGAGGGGGGAGAGTTGTGTACATTGGCTGCCGTTGGTCACATAGGCTGGATCAGCTGAGCCAAAGCTCCAGCAGCTCACTTGCTGCCATTCGACCCTATTCACTTAGGGGCCCGAATGGCAGTGAGTGAATAGCCAGATGCCGCCGAGTGGAATTTGGCTCGGCTATTCTGCTCGGTACCTCGGAGTACAAAATAAGTGAAAAGAAAGAGAAAAAAAAAAAAGTTGCCAAATTATTTTTTAAAATTATTTAAAAAAATAGGAAAATTTAAAAAAATAACAATATTTTAAAGAAAAGAAAAACAATTGGGCAGAGAGTCTTCTAGTGGGTCCCGGCCAATGAATAACAACTCGCCCAGTTGTTATTGTTTAATGACCTGGGGGCGCTGATCTGTCATTACAAGGGGGCGGAGCGAGCCGTTGTGAGATCACGGCTGGCTCTGCCCAGCTGTCATTTGCATGGAAATTGGTCGGCTTTGGGCCGACCGTTCTTCTCGTTTCTGGTGTCACTAAGGCTCAGCCGAGCGGAAGCATACGCGTTCGGCTCGGATGAGCTGCTCAGCTGCCTTCGGCTGCTGTACAGGTTATTGTGAATAGCCCGTACAGCAGCCCTTCGGTTTGACTGAATCGAAGGGCAGAGGCAGCCGAAGAGAGCCGAAGGATCAGCTGAAGCTACGGCTGGATCGTTCGGCTCTTTAGTGAATAACCCCCATAGTTTTCTTTACCCTTTTCCATGTACTCCATTAAACAGATATAGCCCACCCTCACCACCCCCAAAACTTTATACTTACCTAGATAGGAGCTAATCCATCTCACAGCCCCATGGAAGTCTATGGGGCAGAACTGCACATGTGCGGACATGGGGTGAAGAAGGTGGCCAGGGATGCAGACATTGATGTGGGCCTTGATGGCATGATCTAGGTAAGTACAGAGATTTGGGGAAGGGGAGGGGCTACATCTGCTTAGGAGAGTAAGGGGAAAGGGGTGAGGAAACTTTCCCCTGACCTGTATCAGCATGATTGTATACGCTGCTCTTCTGCACTATGATTGGCTGATTAGATATTTCCATAAAGAAGCCGGTGTACAGGCGTCCCAACAAAGTGCTCACTAGATGGATATCTCTCCTACATACGGATCATATCTATCACTAAGTGTCATATACACATTGTGTGGGGCGGGTGTATAGCACTGCGGCCACTCACTGCTGTGTGAAGTCATTCTCCGTTGGGTTCCAGAGCTCTGTGCGTCACTGGCCGTGTAATTAATTGAGAATCAAAGTCAATATTTGTGAGGAGGAGCAGCGGCAGAGTTCTCGGCAGTGCGCCCGGACAGGATTATATTCGTTGAGTGATTAAAGTGCAATTAGGAGATCTAATGGAATAGAATGTAAAATGATCACCCTGGAAGTGTGCCGGGCAGAGGGTGCGGTAATGTTCTCAGTGTGTCTGTACAGAGGACCAGGATGAGTACAGAGGATGAGCCTGGAGAATCAGTGGACCAGGATGAGTCCAGGGAATTAGTGGTCCAGGATGAGTCCAGAGGATCATAGGAACAGGATGAGTGTGGAGGATCAGAGGAACAAGATGAGTCTGGAGGATCAGGGGACCATAATGAGTCCAGAGGATAAGAGGAACAAGATTAGTCCAAAGGATGAGAGGAACAAGATTAGTCCATAGGATGAGAGGAAGAGGATAAGTTTGGAGGTTTAGAGGACCATGATGAGTCTGGAGGATCAGAGGACTAGGATGAGTCCAGAGGATCGGAGGACCAGGTTGAGTCCGGATAATCAGAGGAACAGGATAAGTCCAGAGGATCAGAGGAGCAGGATGAGTCCAGAGGATCAGAGGAACAGGATGAGTCCAGAGGATCAGAGGTCCAGGATGAGTCCAGAGGATCAGATGTAGAAGAAGAGCTGCTGAGACCAGAAGGGACTTCATATTGGTTACAGTTGGATGTAATCCAATGTGTGATGTCATCAGCCCGGCTGCTGGATGCTGCAGAATACAAAATACAGAAATCTCCAACATCTGCCGTATGGTGGAAGGGGAACCGGCAGGAATATGGTGACGTCATATAGTATGATTCCCGAACCGTTCCATCCACTCCTTCTTCATAGACACCACACAAGATGGCTGCTTCACACATCTCAATGAGATTATTGTAACAGAAAGTCTCTTCCCATCAATCTCTCCAAATCTATTCCCTCTGACGTATCCCGTTCCTCTGTATGGAGACACACACAGCTCATTATTGGGGCAATGGCCTACACACTTCCAAAGCTAAAACTCTACAATAAGGATTCTTATTTTTTTTTTAAGTGACAGTTATTTTTAGCTGAGTTTGATGAGATTTGACAATTCCAGTCACATGTAAGATCTTTATTGTAGAAGGTCTCCATGTTTACGTCGTAAAGCAAGAAGATAAATATATACAGTTCACTGGCCAAAAGGCTTTTGTTTCTGTCCATCACGCAGCACAGCTAGGCAGATGACACCACGTCCCCTGGTACAGGTGAATACAACCCCAATTCCCAAAAAATTGGGGGCGCTTTGTAAAATCTACATAGAAACAGAGTGCAATCATCTGCAGATCTCATCAACCCGAATTTTATTCACAATAAAGCAGCATATCAAAATGTTTAAACTGAGAAAATGGAGCATTTTAAGAAAACAATCAGGTCCTTGAAATTGATGCAGCAAGACATCTCAGTAAAGTTTGGACAGGGCCGGTGTAGCATCCCCACTTCTGTAAACATCTTGTAAATGAGGAGACTTGGTTGCTGGAGCTTTGGGAGAGGAATGTTGTCCTATTCTTGCCTGACATAGGATTCTAACTACCCAGACACTCTGGGGTTGATTTACTAACCTTATAAACACACCACGAACATGTATACACCTCTGTGGTGTGTTCCCTCCCAGCATGATCTATGGGTGGAATCTAAACACCTTTGTAGTGTGTACACACCCAGCAGGTGTGTTGTGCAAAGCCAAGCATGAATTGCAAGGTGATGTTGTGTAAATTAGCTCTACGTTGTGTTGCTTGCGTTGATGAATGCAGGAATGTAAATGCATGAGCTAACCATTTTTGTCTAAACTGTGAAGCAGCATTATATATGCATCATGTGCATGATTTTTCCATATATGGCATTAGTGGAAATATGCTTTTAGAGACTTTTTGGTTGATAAATACGTTTTGCTGTGTGAAAATCACACGCACCTAGTGCGTGCGTGTGTTTAGGTTAGTAAATCACCCCCTCTGACTCTCTAAGATGCTCTTTATATCCCCAATCATGTGACTGACCTGTTACCTGTAAAATGTTCTTCCAGCTCTTCCTTGTTGGTACCACAGAGGCCCCATTCACACTGAGCGATTTATGGAGCGATTTTTTTGCAGCGATATCGCTCATATTTCCACGCGATATCGCTCTATGTAGCTTCTCCAATCCATTTCAATGGAGCTGTTCACATCTCGCCGCTCAATATCGCTGGTAGCTCGTCGCTCCTACATGACCCTTTTTTCGAGCGATTTTGCTTCTGATTGCATACAGCCCAATAGGAAGAAGTCGCGCGACAAGTCGCTCAATATCGCTCAAAATCGCGCGATTTTCATGTCGCTCAGTGTGAATGGGGCCTCACTCTGCCAGCTTTTTGTTGCCCTGTCCCAACTTTTTTGAGACGTGTTGCTGCCACCACTTTCACAATGGCCTGATTTAGTTTTTCCTAAAATGCTCCATTTTCTCAGTTTAAACATGTGATATGTTTTCTATTTTCTATTGTGTATATAATAGGAGTTTATGAAATTTTTAAATCATTGTATTCTCTTTTTATGTAGATTTTATGCAGCGTCCCAACTTTTTTTTAAAATTGGGGTTGCATATTGGAAAAAAGAATCAGGTTACCATGGTGTCTTCCTCCCACCCTAGCCTACAATTGGACTATACAGGAAATGGAGCAGACTAGTGGGCTCATCTCTCTGCTCTCTCCTCTTATCAGAATGCTTGCGATAAGCACATCTGAATGCAGCACACCTGATTAGCTCCCCCAGTGCTGCCTCTCCCTTGCCCAGTCTCAGCTCTGCTGTAAAGGGGATTACTAGAGGTGGAAATCCAAGTCAGATTCAAGTCATTGAACTGCGTGAATGTAAACATTTCAAATGGATAAATAAATACAGAGCTGCATTCGATCTTTTCTGAAGTTCAGCTTTCATTCCAATAAGATTCCTCTTCAGTCAGTCAGCAGACTCCTGACCAGGCATCCTGCCAGGGACCCAGTTACAGCTTATCCTTACAAATATTAACGAGCGACACACAGAGCTACGGGACCTCCAAGCAGCCAGTGTCCATATTACAGCCTGCACAGGATCTACAACACGCTTATGACACATATATGTGGTATGCATTTTTAATAGGTATATATATGGCATGTTTTCTGTATTCATTAGACTTTATATTATTATATCCTCTACTATTTCATTAATTTGTATTGTCCTTTTATATACATACTATCTCTATATGGATTCACTGTATCCATAGAAGTCTATTGCTGGTCTGTAGCTCAATGTTTTGTGTGGTTCTTCATAATGAATTTCCTGTGATCTCTTGATATTTATTTTTATACAATCACTATATTAATTCTGACACGTGTGACCATCATATTCCATCCAATTCTGAGGTTCCTGGACTGGTTTAAACCGCTGAACTTTACTTGAAGTTGTATTTCTGTTTGGGGATAACTGACCTTTTTAACTACTTTAGCTCTCCCTCCATACACCTTCTTTGGACCACAGTCGATTTTACATTTCTGCTCTGAACCCATTTATTCCAGAAATAACGTTATCATTACTTAAGATAACAAAGTCATACAAATTGGTTTTGTTTTTTGTTTTTTTTACAATTCACAAAGTTTTCTTCTGTTGATGTATTATGCAATCTGTAGAAATTTTTTTTAAAAAAACTGAAAAAATGCACTTTATTATAGTTTGATCAGTTAGATAAACAATATTGTTACTGTAGAGAAAAAGAAAACAAATTCTACAATTTGTCCTGCTTAAAATGATACTACACTTATGACTCTGGCACAAAGCATTGTAAAGTTATTTGTAGATGAAATGAAGGCTTTTTATTTTCAGTGTTTATAAACAATGTTACTTTGTATCTCTCTATCTCCCTCTGATCAATGTTTATAAACAATGTTACTTTGTATCTCTCTATCTCCTCCTCTGATCAATGTTTATAAACAATGTTACTTTGTATCTCTCTATCTCCCTCTGATCAATGTTTATAGACAATGGTAAACAAAAAAACTAATACCATTTGTTGTTTAGTTCAGTAGAACTAAATTGTATGTGTAGAAAAGTTTTAAACCAATACAGTGGATTTACAGCAATGATCATACTTCAAATAATCCCTTCCAATTCAAAATTCCCAATATCGTTTATTGGCAACACAAAACCCTCAATACAAACATGTACAGGAGTGTTCATAGCCCTGCCTGGACTGTGTTCTTGATAGAAGGTTTACTGCTTTCAGTCTACTATAACCCCAAAGGTCTGTTTGTAGCACCAATGACAGCTTCAGACTAAGACAGGACTGACAACTGCCCAATTTGCGGGCAGAGCCCCACTGATACATACCTGAATATAGAGATGATCAACCTGCATAACTTAACCTGAGATGTGCAATGGACACTATGGTTAGTGTACAAAAAAGGGGGCATACTCAAAGAGTAAAATGTTATCAAAAGGGGTAAGGGCAGGTGGGGCGGCATGGACATACTGACAGATGGAGAGTGGAAACAGGGGGGTAGGGGAAACAGGGGGGTGTAAATGTGTGGGGCTCCTCCCACAAACACGGCTAACAAGTTCACCTAAAACGTATACATTTTGCACATGGTCATTAGGATGTGTGTTGACAGACTATTTGCATCAAAACTGCTTCATTCTCAATTGTCAAGCTATGGAAATGCAATAGCAGCTTGAAGCAGGTCATATGCAAGTCAAAAGGGGGTGAACATCTGATCAAATGTGCCTGTCAATGCATTCTGAATGATCTCAGAATCATCTTATACTGATGTCAAAACTATGCTGCATTTGCCCATAGACGCAAGCTCTAAGCTTGTTGGTTGGAAGCATTTGGTCTGTGTTTTCTGTTCCACACTGAACTCTGTGTCCCTACTGCGGAGATTCCTCTCACCCTTCCTGTTGTGGTGACCATTGTAAATAGGAGAGAAAGGAGGGAGGAGGATCTAAAACTGCCACCAAAATAGAGGATAGCATATTACACCAATATCCACTATAAAAACCCTCCCCCAAATTGTCTGACGTCCTGCCCCAAATGCCAGGCTGCTTCACCAGATCTGGATCACCTAATATGGCTATGCCCCCTCATCCAAACATTTTGGACCATAGTTCTCTCTTACATGAAATCCATTTCGGGCTCCTACAGACCCCTACACCCGGCACTATGCCTATTTCGTGGCAGCCATTCCGACTGCCACAACTGCTCATTGGGATCCTTCTAGGTGGGAACACTTATGCGATACTAACAAACTGGTTAACTCTAGCTTCCGCCACATTGAAGTCACTGAAAGACCTCCTGCGCAAGCTGCTGTCACTAGACCAATTAGATGCCCAGCTAAATCAACCCCTTACAGCTGGCTTCTTCGCCACTTGGTCCTCCTTCCTCCTGGTTGAACTTCCCCCATGACGACTAAAAGTGGTAATGGCGATGTTTCAGTACACTACATGGTATCTCACCTCAAAGCTAGCTGGATCTTTGGGTGCCTTAGATGTCCTTTAGCGTTCCAATAACTGGCTCCTTCTACTAATACTAGTCCTGAATAACTTATCAATTTCATGGTCCATCCTAGTAACTACTGGCCCATTCATGCCGTATCCCTTTTTTTTTTCCTTTCCTTTTCCATCACTCAACCCCTTATCCCCTTTTTTCTCTTGTTCTGGTTTGTTTTGTTGTGCACACTAAAGTTTTAAAAACGACATCTCTTATGCATGCTATTGACAGGATGTCGTTTCACTTAGGGATAGAAGTCCCTCCCCCCCCCGCCCCCCCCACAGACCTAACAACACAATGCATTTGGTGTATTTTTTCTATGACCGCCCGAGAGAGCAACTATTTGCTACTTTTGCCCTTGTTTTTCTCTTCTTGTGATCACCGTCAAAGCTTTTAAAATATAAAATAAAGAATTTATAAAAAAATGTCATGGTCCATGTCCATTATATGTCCTATTTTATGTCACCTATGGCCCTTCCCAAGAGTCCCATGGATTGATTGAGGCGTTGCTATGCGATTTCATGTTCCTTCATGTTGGTTACAACTGCATTTATTCATTTCTTGATTGTTCTGTATATCTTGGAAAATATTTTAATAAAAGATTACATGCTAAAAAAAAAAAAAAAGAATTGGAGCCTAAAACAGCATTTCTCAATAGAGGCCCCTATTCCAGTGACAACTTTCAAAGGGGGGGGATTCTCCAACATTGTGGGATGATAATCCGTGAATCTCGTCTTGTTTTGCAGGGAAATCATCTCTACAATCAGCATGATTTTCCTCCTTATCTTTCTGACTCTCAGCGTGTGTGTGTTGGGTCAGTTCCCCCGAGTCTGCACTACACCTGAAGCTCTGAAGAGCGCGCAGTGCTGCCCAGAGGTGAACGGACAGAAGTGTGGTGGTCCTGGTCGTGGATCCTGTGTTGACGTGCGTCCTCTCCAGTCCAAAGACAGCAGCATCCTTCAGGCCTACGACGACCGCTTGAACTGGCCTCAGTGTTACTTTAATTATACTTGTCTTTGTGAAGCAAACTTCAGCGGATACGACTGCACGCAATGCAAGTTTGGTTTCTATGGGAAGAACTGTGAGATCAAGAAGATCTTGCTGAGAAAAGAGATCCGTAATCTGACTGACGAAGAGCGCGCAAATCTCATCAGCTATCTGACACTGGCCAAAAGCAAGAAAAGCGAAGATTATGTGATTCTGGTGACCAGCGACCGACACGACCATGACACCTACCGCTTCATTGATGCTTCCATCTATGACATCTTCTCGTGGATACACCACTACTCCACAAAGCCAATTGTGATCAACAGTTCATTCACTTCTCATAGAAATTTTGCCCATCAAGGTCCTGCATTTCCTGTATGGCACCGCCTGCTGCTCCTGTTCCTGGAGAGAGAGATCCAACGCCTGGTGGGAGACGAGGACTTTGCTCTTCCATACTACAACTGGAGTAAAGATGACAACTGTACAATCTGTACGGATGAGTACATGGGCAGCAATGATCTGGAGGGCAACCTTAATGAAACTTGCCACTTTTCAACCTGGAAGGTGAGTTTACCTTTTATTATATATATATATAAATATATATATATATATATTCATCCGACTCTTGCAGGTTCCTGTAATGGGTATGTTATTTGCTTGTGAATTTGAACCTCCAACAAAGTAAATGACGGCTCAAATTGCACCTATGTCCAGACTACTGACATTAAATATTTGCATATACTTAACAGGCCATAAAACAGCTTTTTAACCTCTTAGTGACCAGTGACATCCATAGTAAGTCATTGGCACCGGGCCCGTTCAAACAGACTCCTGGCAACTTTAAGCTCTGTTTACACTTGTAAAGCCGGCTGTCGGCTTTACAATAGAAGCGATCACGCGACTCAGCTGTCGCCCGATCGCTTCTCTGGGCCGGTAGATTGGCCACCAATCCACAGAAAGGATGTCCTGGAGCTGGAGAGAGTCCAGAGAAGGGCAACTAAACTAATTAAGGGGATGGAGGACCTAAGCTATGATACAAGGAGGAGGAGGGGGATGGAGGACCTAAGCTATGATACAAGGAGGAGGAGGGGGATGGAGGACCTAAGCTATGATACAAGGAGGAGGAGGGGGATGGAGGACCTAAGCTATGATACAAGGAGGAAGGAGGAGGAGGGGGATGGAGGACCTAAGCTATGAGACAAGGTTACTAGATTTAAACTTGTTCACGCTGGAAGTGAGGAGATTAAAGAGGGGACATGATTCTGATGTACAAGAAAAGATTTAACCACAAAGGGCGTAGGGGATTCTTTTTATTCAGAGTGGTTACATTTTGGAACTCTCTGCCACAAGATGTGGTATCAGCAGAGAGTATTGAATCATTAAAAAATCATTTAGATACCTTCCTCAGAGACCGTAACATACAGGGGTACAGATACTCTTAAAAACTAGACCACACAAGGACTTGTATACACACATGCATGCACAACACACACACAGACACACAAAGGTTGAACTTGATTGACCTGTGTCTTTATTCAACCTCAAAAACGATGTAACTGGAAGACATTGTGCGTTACCAGCATGAGGTCAGGAAGTGATCACATCTACCAGTAAACCCCACGCCTCAGACAATGTAACTTATAACTTGTATAAGGCTGGTCATGATTGGTTCTCTTTAATATGACTCCATGGTGTGTGAAGATAATGACATCTAATGCTCAGATCACTTTTATGCTCTACGTTAAATTGTACAAGATGAAATCTGGAATTTGGTCCACGTTTAATGATCAGAATCCTCCCCATGTAACTTGCATGTCCCTGCCACAGCAAAGAGTTTTGACTCCATTTCATCCTTCTATCTCGCAGGCCATCTGTACCGGATATAACTTTGAGGATGCCTACTGCTGGAGTGCCACCGTGAATGAGACGGAGGCGTTGCAGAGAAAACCAGGTGCAGAGCCTGACACTTGGATCCCCACTGAGAGTGACGTGAACGATGTATTACAGTTCCATAATTATGATACTGCTCCGTACAATAGGTCCTCCCAATACAGCTTCCGCAATGCTTTGGAAGGTAACGCTCTCCTGATTAAGCAAGAGCAAATTTGTGAAAATTCAATTTACCGATCAGCTGCACTTCTACCAGTTTAAATGCCTTCAAATGTTTTCAAAACATACATTAGAAGCTGCCTCAAGTTAGATAGAGCCTGCCTCAATTCCTGGCTGGGGGGCATCCAGCACCATCATCTAGCTCCTTCCTGCCTGACTGCCCAAGACCCACCCCTCTCATTTATTGGATTTCACTTCTTTCAATCAGGGAGGCTCATCATATGGGCATTGCCTAGGGCAGTGGTGGCGAACCTTGGCACTCCAGCTGTTTTGGAACTACAAGTCCGATGAGGCATTGCAAGGCTCTGACAGCCACAGACATAACTCCCAGAGGCAGAAGCATGTTGGGATTTGTAGTTTTGGCACAGCTGGAGTGCCAAGGTTCGCCACCACTGACCTATGGCAATCTGCATGCAAAAACAGCCTGCCTAGGAACGCCCACTCCTCCAGACCGACATCCACCCATCAAGGCATGTTGATATTTGCATAACTCCTCCCAAGAGCGGGCCAACTGCTTATATCAAGCCTGAGGGTTCTTGATGGGGGGCTCAACAGGGTGCTGTACATAGCCTACTGAAAACATCACAGCACCCTACCGGCCTAGTGACACCCATTGGTGACATCGGGGTGGAGTTAAAAAAAGTTATGAAACAGTAATGTATGTAATGAGACAGATTTATTTAAAGATATCATAAGTATATTAATAAGGGGGAAGGAAGGACCAGGGAAAGCAAAATACTAGCAAAATAAACTTCAGCTTTGAAAAAGAACCTCCTTTGATGTTTTGAAGTTCATCTAGGGTAAGTGGCAATAGGTTGGACTTGATGGACTAATGTCTTTATTCAACCTCAAATACTATGTAACTATGTATAAATGGTCTTTTGAAAGGGGTTTGGTCACCATGTGTGAGTCAGTCGAAGTAATAACAAATATCTGAAACAACAAAAAAATCTTGTAAATCTCACTAATAAAAACTTCCTCCTCCATTAACATCTAAAACTGTCCCCTGTTGGGTCTCTTCCAAAGCTGCAATCCAAAGAAAAGGAGCACAGGCTCTGCCACACCAGAAGGGAGCGGGATCTTGGAACTGGGTCAGTTTAAAATGGGTGGAGGACTCTGATGAGGTGCCTGTATTTGGCATTAGCTCAAATATGGGTGATTACTTCTCTAGGTTAAGACATGAGTAGGAGGAAGCCAGTGATCCATCTCTTTGGATTAGTACCAGAGGAGAGCAAATGGGGACATCTTTAGAACCTGGAAGGTCAATGTTGACAAAAACTACAACATTCTCTTTCTGGTATCATTATATGAGGTGTGTGTGTCTGTTTTTGTCTTTGCTTTAACTGAACAGCACACACAGTGAACATGTTAGGGGTCCAAAGGTCCCCCCAAAACCAATTATCCTGGAAGTCTGTGCCTACTTGTCCCCAATGGTAAAAAGACAGGTGGCACATAAGCCCCATTTAACAATATTAATTACTGGGCCATACCTACACTGATTACCCAGATCTGCTCACATACTGTGTCCATTATGAGCAGTTTCTACCATCCCTGCACTGAGTTCCCGGGTATGCAAACCTCCTTTGTCCATTATGAGGAGCTCCCACCATCCCTGTACTGATTTTCCTGGTCTGTACACCTGCTGTGCCCTTATGAGCAGTTCCTACCAACTCCACATTGAGTTCCTGGGTCTGTACACCTCCTGTGCCCATTATGAGGAGCTCCCCCCATCCCTGTGCTGAGTTCTCGGGTCTGTACACCCGCTGTGCCCATTATGAGGAGCTCCCCCCATCCCTGTGCTGAGTTCTCGGGTCTGTACACCCGCTGTGCCCATTATGAGGAGCTCCCCCCATCCCTGTGCTGAGTTCTCGGGTCTGTACACCCGCTGTGCCCATTATGAGGAGCTCCCCCCATCCCTGTGCTGAGTTCTCGGGTCTGTACACCCGCTGTGCCCATTATGAGGAGCTCCCCCCATCCCTGTGCTGAGTTCTCGGGTCTGTACACCCGCTGTGCCCATTATGAGGAGCTCCCCCCATCCCTGTGCTGAGTTCTCGGGTCTGTACACCCGCTGTGCCCATTATGAGGAGCTCCCCCCATCCCTGTGCTGAGTTCTCGGGTCTGTACACCCGCTGTGCCCATTATGAGGAGCTCCCCCCATCCCTGTGCTGAGTTCTCGGGTCTGTACACCCGCTGTGCCCATTATGAGGAGCTCCCCCCATCCCTGTGCTGAGTTCTCGGGTCTGTACACCCGCTGTGCCCATTATGAGGAGCTCCCCCCATCCCTGTGCTGAGTTCTCGGGTCTGTACACCCGCTGTGCCCATTATGAGGAGCTCCCCCCATCCCTGTGCTGAGTTCTCGGGTCTGTACACCCGCTGTGCCCATTATGAGGAGCTCCCCCCATCCCTGTGCTGAGTTCTCGGGTCTGTACACCCGCTGTGCCCATTATGAGGAGCTCCCCCCATCCCTGTGCTGAGTTCCCGGGTCTGTACACCCGCTGTGCCCATTATGAAGGACTACCACCAGACAGGGGTGGGGCTTCGACCAGCAGGGGGCGGGGCGGGGGAATGCCTCACCCCGAGCAAGAGGTACCGCACGTCACTGATTATGAGGGGTTCCCTCCATCCCTTCTGGATTTTTTATTTGTCTCATATTCTGGTAAATTTCATAAGAGAAATGGAAAAACCTCAAACTAGGACAACAATGACATAGAGATCTCTGTGCTGAAGATCATATAGAGAATATATTGTGGCAGCAATTACACAATACAAAGGCTCCACCTAAAAATGCAAACATCCTTTTAGGTGGACTGACCCCTAATTTACCCAAAGAGGTAGCATACGGCCCCCTCATTGTGTTTTGTTTTTTTTAAGGATTTTTAAATCTGACTGATGGGAAGTCCGAAGACCATAACATGCATAACATGTTCCACAGCTATATTGGGGGGACGTTGTCCTACGTTCCTTTCGCTGCCAATGACCCGATCTTCTTTTTACACCACAACTTCATTGACAAGTAAGTCCGGGATGTTTTCTTATTTCAATGTATGCTTCCAGCACGTTCTAGCTTGTGTGTGACTTGTGTGTGAAAAGATCCGACCAATCCAATCGCTTCAACAAGGAAACCTGTCTAGAATTTACTTCTGCTTCCATTGTTATTAGGAGATAATGAAAGGTGTGGAGTGTTGTGTTATTTAGGGGCTGTATACACATTCTCACAGCATTCCCACCACTAGATGGAGCCGAGGAGCATAGGAAATCTGCTCAGTTATAAAGTGGGCTGAACTTTTATACTCCCGCCCCTTAGTGTTCCAACCCAATCACCGTTCAAGCTGAGGAATAATACATTTGTCTGTGCTCATCCTGGGCAGGACAGACTTGGAGTTTTGACTCAGGTCAGTTGGGTGACCTGCCTCTGTCAGTTGGGTGACCTGCCTCTGTCAGTTGGGTGACCTGCCTCACTAGGCTGGACACTAGCCCCATTCCGCCCCCCACACCTCAGGCAGTGACACCACTGGGGAGACCACTGTGTCCACGTCTAGTAAAATTATGACTATCCTGAAGGCCGGCTCTATAAATTGAATGGGGGTTTCTATTCATCCGAAGGACAATAAATATCTGAGTTACTCTCTGAGATGCTGATAGAGAGACAGAGGGGATCACCAATAATATCTCTGACTATTCACCCTCTTTGACAATGCCTCTGTCTGGAGACCATTGCTCTCTGCATATCACAGGACGGTTCATCAGACATTTATGGATTAGCTTGTTGTGTATCTAGGAAATCCGCCCCTCAGCATTGCAGTCATCGGAAAGCCCTCCCCTCAGCAGGGAGGGCTTGCGATAATCGTAAGTACGATCTGCCTGTCCAAGATGTGCAGATTGTATGAAATTTTAATGACCTTACAAACATCGCAAGACAAAAGTCATGCAATGGTTGTAAGGTGTATGGGCAGCTTCAGACTAACTTGATTTTCTGGAACTTCTAGATCAGGGCGGGGCAAATGCCTGATCTAGGTTTTCTCCTTTAAAATGAGAGTGTGTATGCCACCCCTTTTTTTGGCCAGGTCATCCCAGGTTGCTAAGAGCTGGACAGACAGATGTGTTAGGCCCATACAAATCTCCCCGCCTAGCTCTTAGCAACCTGGGATGCTCTGGCCAATGTCTCACCCAGCTCCTAGAAACCAGTGATGTCAATGGTTGCCGGGAGCTGAGCGGGACACTCTGGCTGGTGTCCCTTTAAGTTCCTAGCAACCAGTGAGGTCACTAGGCTGGACACCAGCCCCATTCCGCCCCCCACACCTCAGGAGGCGACACCACTGGGGACACCACTGTGTCCACGTCTAGTAAAATTATGACTATCCTGAAGGCCGGCTCTATAAATTGAATGGGGGTTTCTATTCATCCGAAGGACAATAAATAACTGAGTTACTCTCTGAGATGCTGATATAGAGACAGAGGGAATCACCATTTATATATCTGACCATATATCCTCTTTGGCATTGCCTCTGTCTGGAGACCATTGCTCTCTGCATATCACAGGACGGTTCATCAGACATTCATGGATTAGCATGTTGTGTATCTCGGAAATAATACCCTTCGCACAATCAGACAACACCACAGCCTCAACCACTGGGAATCATTCTAAAAGGTGCCCACACACCTTACAATTTATCTGCAGATTTTCTGTGGTCAGATGGAAAAAGTGCAACAGATTGGCCCAGGTGGAGATTACTCCATCCGCACAGTTTAATGTAGATGGAGGAATCTGTTGCACCTTTTCCATCTGACCACAGAAAATCTGCAGATAAATTGTAAGGTGTGTGGGCACCTTTAGCGAAGATGTAGTTAGAAGTTGGTTTCTGGTTTGGCTGCACACCTGAGCTTGGGTGGAGACCATTCCTCGTAGTCCCAAAGACAAACACAATTTCCACTGCTTGTGTAAGAACTGATGGAGCGTGGGCACCAATTGCCAATGAGCAGAAGTAAAGAAACTCTAAACTACTATGTACTCCCTCCTATCAAATTATACATTGTGAGTGAAGTATGTTGGAGTTCAAGATCACTCACTCGCTTCCCCCTCAATATTTGGGCAGAATTCTGTGGGGAATGCAAAAAGGAAACTAGATCACCTTGCATTACCAACAAAGCCTGGTGAAGCTAAAAGAAGGTTCATGCAGCAGACCTGTCCATGGATTTGGTGGTTGTTTTAACCTTCGCTGCTGTGTACTAGACCACCCCAAGTCCAAGTCTAGGTTGTTGTAGGTACATTATACTTTGGAAATATTGTTTTGCACCTTACCCAATATACATTGTAAATCAATTAACGTAGTAGTAGCTTTTTTGGAAGAACACCCTCACAGGGGAAGACCATTCACACTCAATGCAGATAATGTCTATGGTAGGAATCACACTGAACACTGTAGTTCTGAAGGCCACGCTGCACATACCCTACAAGAGTGCGCCAACATGAGAATTTATGAGATGCAAATGATCTAATGAACTTTAGAGATATCTCTATCTTTACATACACCGTGGTAGATCGGAAGGGAGAGAACACATACCGTCGCTTGCTCACTTCTCGATCCTTTCCCTGCATAGAGCCGTGACTATCACTCACGGCTCCCTGCAGGGATTCCCCCCTCACCTGTCCGATCCTCCAGCGGTGACTGGCGGAACGGACGGACGGGC